TCTTCATACTCTGATGACGGAGGCAGTATGACCTCTGAAACGTTGGTTAACATCGACCAGACTACACAGCGCAACAACCCAGAAGACAGAAATCTTCATACTCATCGCCCTGATGATGGAGGCAGTATGACCTCTGAAACGTTGGTTAACATCTACCAGACTACACGGCGCAATAACCCAGAAAACAGCATCTTCAGACTCACCGCTGTGAAAACCTCAAACCCTACAAAAGAATTCTAACTGAAGGATCAATTAATATCCGTTGTCAGGTTCCAACAGGCATCACTAGTGAACAAAAAGTATAAATGTTTTCTGTCGATATAAAGAGAACACAATAATTTTTTGGGAATTGATACCCCATGAAAGATAATCTCAACTAAATGAGTAGGTACTTGAATTTTAAAGAAAGGGTCAGAAGGTAATCCACAAACTGCAAAGTGAAAACTAGAGAGTTAAACACAATATTGGCATATTGCAAGTCGTTTGTTACATTAAATCATATGGTAGTATATTTGCGTCATATTGTGAATTAGGTTAATATTTTAATATTTTCCGTCAAATCACAATTTTAGTAAGATAATAAAATGTAAAATATTTAAAATATCATTTCACGTTCCGCATCGAATGATCGATTTACAAATTGGAACGTCTCTTACGACATGTTTCGGTTATATTTAACCGTCCTCAGGTATAAATTAGATTGGTAAAATTTAAAACTCGAATTACAATCATTTACAATGTTATGCAGTTTATTGAAATGTTCTTATCAGATTACTCTTATATATTAGAACGAAGGTATTGTTTTTTATATTAGAACGAAGGTATTGTTTTTATATAAGAGTAATCTGATAAGAACATTTCAATAAACTGCATAACATTGTAAATGATTGTACTTCGATTTTTAAATTTACCAATCTAATTTATACCTGAGGACGGTTAAATATAACCGAAACATGTCGTAAGAGACGTTCCAATTTGTAAATCGATCATTCGATGCGGAACGTGAAATAATATTTTAAATATTTTATATTTTATTATCTTATTAAAATTGTGATTTGACGGAAAATATTAAAATATTCATTAAGTCATATGATTTGCTATAAGAGAAGGGGTGAATAATCAGCACTTTTTAAATGTCACATCTTCTCAAAATGATTTAGATTATAAACTTACGCACACAGAACTGAAAATAAACGCCAAGAAGAAAGTTGATTCGAGAAGCTGCACATCTTTAAAATCTTATTTACGGAATTCTTGCCGAATACAGACCGACAGTAAATGAGATGCTCGCCTTACTGAATTTGGATTAGCCAATTGAACACAGGATCCTACGGCGAACTTTTCACACAACGTAAATGAGCATTCTGCTGAAGAAATCGAATTCCTCCTACAGCAATTCAACCACAGAAACAGAAAACAGAACTGTGAGCTAGACAAAAATTCTTCTATGAAAGGGACGTACGGCAGGATTCTGCAGCAACGCAGATAAACCTTTGGTTTGTACTATAATAGGAAATTCCTACGGCAAAGTTCACATCGAGGAACGGCTTGAACTTTAGATGAGAAATCAAACCGGATAGGGACAACATCAAATAGTAATGACACTGAATCAAATTCGAAACGGGCATCGAAAATTCTTTTTTCCATAAAAAGTAATAAATTTAAAGCTGTCCCTCTATACGCCATGTAGGCGCTTGGGCGGAGAGGACGTATAGCTCCTACTCATTCTTGATCTCGGCACTAGATGGGGGTCTAGACGCAGAGGCTAGAGGACAAATTCTCTGCTCCCGTCGGGGATCGAACCCCGGTCGTCCAGTCCGTAGTCAGTCACTATACTAAATGGAAAGGAATTTACTGAAATTTTCTCTACCTACATGGCTGATCTAGATTATCAAAGTCTCAGAAGTTCTTACTCATGGCCCTGATCATGGATGCAGCAAGGACCACTGAAACGGAAAACTCATCGCCATGAAAACCTCAAATCAAAGTTAATGTCAAATGCTGAAGGGATAATGTGTAACAAAGTTGCCATCTTTATTTATTTAATTACATCGTTAGTTGTCACGTGTGGGACGTTTAACTAAGCGAAAATCCGAAATTTAAGAAGTTCCTGATGACGTATTAATATACGGTAAATAAAACCGAAGTCAACATTCTGCAAACAAGGCGCACGCACTTTACATATCTGAACAGCCTTTCACTAAGCTGTAATCTCTTACTAGATCTTATTTTTGGTCGGGCGTCGCTAAAATATATTTCCATTTGATTGATTCATACGTTTCAATCACATTAGCACTCACTGAATCCTAGATTACATGACGATGTTTCAGATTAGTAAGGAGAGAAATACCTCGTGTTTTTCAGCGTATAATACATTAATATCAGGCCTACGTGTGAGTTTGTGTGTTTACTAATATACAAACATATGTATACATATATTCCATAGAAACATTAACATTAACATTGCTTCACTCACGGCACGACGAATCCATAGGGATGCTGCATTCACAGGAGTCAAAAGAAGGCAAGAAAAACAGACCGCTAACATAGCACCGCACTGCGCGAAATATAGGTACCTGCAAATAAAAGAAAAGTAATATTACATCACTGGTATCGAGCATAATAACGAACTATGTATCAATAGCATACATTCAAAACTGGAAAATTAATGCGGGATTTTTCTGACATTATATTAACTCACTTCGTCAGTATTCTGTTTACCACGTGATCTAAGGAAAAGTCATCAAACGCCAGCAGGCAATTTGCATATTGTCAACTGAAGATAACCCAGTTTGCGTAACAGTATTCTCACATCTGTTGTTACCGTCAGCTTTTCAAAAGATTTTCAGTCACCTGTTTATTTAACTTTAAAAGTCGCGCCCCATCGAGTTTACAGTCGAATAATATTTTTTTTTAAATTGTTGTGGGTACTAACGATCTACCGCCACGGTGGTCTAGCGGTTAGAACGCTGCACTTCTGGATCATCTGCCAAGGACGTATATGAACAGGTCCCAGTCCGAGGAAAGGATGGAAGGATCCTGTTCATATGGACCTGTCGTCAGACAGAACACTAAATAATAATAAGATGAGGTGGTCTAGCGGTTAGAACGCTGGCCTTGTAATCCTGGGGTCTCGGGTTCGATTCCCGGCGGTGCCCGAATTTATAACTTGTGTTGGGCAAGGCCGTGGTCTAGGCAACACGGAGTTTTCCTCCGGGGGCTTCCCCGGTTTCTCCGTGGCATCCCAACAATTACCTCATTCACACACAGAAGAAGGCAATGGCAAACCACTTCTGGATCATCTGCCAAGAACCTATATAACAAATCCCAGTCCGAGAGAAGGATGGAAGAATCCTGTTCATATGGACCTGTTTTCAGACAGAACGCTACAAATAAATAACTAACGATCTAACAGCTACTTGCACGCCCTGAAACATGTCCACAGCGACTTTATCACAATCAGAGCTTGGTCGGTCGGTGTAAACATCAGACTTCAGGTGGCCTCAGATTAAAACGTCCAGAGGTGTAAAGTCCGGTGATCGGAGTGGACTAATTTTTTTTGTTTATATTACAAAAAATTATATTCCAGTGGGGCGCGGACTTAGGCCCAACTGTATAATGTGAAAGATAATAAAAGGAATAAATAAGAAAATAAAATAAACAAATAAGACTGATACAGAGGCAGGGACGAGTAAGAAACAAAGAGGAAATGCGGGAAAGAAAGGAGAAACAGAGGTTTCCAAGATTTTGGATAAATGCTGAATACCGAATCAAACAGAAAAAGGAGAAGAAGAAATAACAAAAGTTGAAGACGATGCAATGACAAAAACGTGTATATTTGGTCCCTCTCCCGATATATAAACTTGGAGGGAGCATTTGTCAACTGACAGACCGGAAGTCTGCATCACAGCAGGACGCTCGAAGTCGCTGTGGACGCATTCTGCAAACAGACTGTAACTGAAACCTTAACCGGGATATTGGACGACAGTAAATATAATAATGATAGTGCTCCGTAGCGGTAATGACAGCTGAGCGCTACATGCTTAAAATTGGATTGGTTCGCCGGTAATATAGCGTAGGTGGCAGGGTAGTCGCGCCTAAAGAGGATAGCGCTCCGTATTACGAGGCAGAAACCATTATAGGCACTTGCTTTTACATGCACAAGGAACGAATTAATATATATCAATATATCAATATATATAGCCATGGGACAAAGTGGAAAAAGGATTGACAGCTTTTTATTCTGATGCGATCCGAAAGAATGTGGACTGATGGACCAAACACAGTGAAAGAAATGACGACAAGTATGTGATTATTTTATAAAATAATATGATGTAATACACATTGAAACATGTCGTCGATACAAAAAATGTAACAAGATGCAGTGTCTACTGAGAATGTTATAATTTTAAATAATTTTAAACAACATTATTTTAAGTTTGTGTATAGACGGAAAATAAAAATATTTTATCAATAAAACACAAACATGACGCAATTAAGATATGAATTAACGAAGTTGTATTAATCGCAAGAGACAAAATAACTACAAGCCTAACGTCACAGATTTCACACCGTGAAAATATAATGTGGTTAAGAAGTGGGATATCGTAGGACTTGATGTTTTCACGGCGCTGAGTCTGCGATCGCCCTGATGATGGAGGCAGCAAGAACATCCGAAACGCCGGTAAAAATCTACCAGACTACACGGCGTAACAACCCAGAAGACGGCCATCTTAAGGGGAATATTAGCGACGCATTGGGCAACAAAAATATCCAGTACACAAAGAAGAAATTTGAAACTAAGCAGAGAACTCATTCTTATGTTAATTAACAGGTCACTTGGCGCTCTTATGAGCCAGTTAATTATATTTCCTGTGCTCAAGATTAGTTACCAAAGATTTATTTCAATATAATCACATCTACGCTATGCGTCCTACTTGTTTCACCTAAAGGAGTTACAGAAACAGAATTAAGTATTTCTTTGTTTCCATTTGAACTTCTTCGACATTAACGTCGTAAAATTAACCTATTTGTGGAAACTATGAAAATCCTTGCGTTCTATCGGGGACATGGAGGCGACAGGTTCTTACAAAACGTTCGTAATCTACAAGACAATCGTACAAGACTACATGAAGCCCTAAGCAAGAAGATCAAATCCAAACATGGTCGTCTTCTGGATGTCAACACCTCGTAGTCTGGTAGAAGCTTACCGGCGTCTCACAGGTCTTTACTACCTCCATCACTGGGGCGATGAGTCCTATGATAGAGGCATCAAAGACCTCTGAAACGTCGGCAGACAACTACCAGACTACACGGCGTCACAACCCAGAAAAGTCTGGACTGAAACCTCAAATCCTACTTGAATACAATCTAGATTCAAGGCCTTGTCTTCCTTGCTACACATTATTTTATCTGTCTTATATAATCCAAAGTCATAAAAGGGTAAACAGAGTTGCTCACATCTGCTGTGTGGGGGGGGGGGGGGGGGGGCCCCCCCCCACGAGGCAGTAACAAATACCGAGTTCATTAGGTGACAACGCGTTCTCTGTCGGGGCAAAGTAATAAGCAACACAAGTCCTTCGTCTGTTACCACAGAAAACTGAGAATAATCCGCAGTTGTTACGAAATTTTAAAAAAAAAAAAATACAGCAGCACAGACAACTAACTGTTCCGTTGTGAACAGGATTTTCTCAGTCCATATTCAGCATTCTCGTAATTTGCATACTGGCGCTGGTGTCAGCTGTCATCGCTTTCCATAATGCATGCAACACCGCCATTTTCCCTTCCAAGGGCTAAAATATAGGCTGGAGTTGTACGTTCTAACCCCCCCCCTCCCCCATTACGGTTACACTGAACCACCGGACGTCAGCATAAAAATGACGCAGGTCACAGTGATCATAATTATACCAACTGGACTGCAGCCAACCCACGTAAGTTTAAAGGAGTTCCATAATTTAATGTATTAAAACCAAAATTGTTTACATTCGTAGCAGGATTTGAGGTTTTCACGGCGGTGAGTATAAAGATGGTCGTCTTCTGGGTTGTAGCGCCGTGTGGTCTGGTAGAAGTCTACAAACTTTTCAGAGGTCCTTGCTGCCTCAAACATCAGGGTGTTACAACAAAGAAGATACATATCTTCATCACTGTTTACATTCGTCCAAAAAATAAAGTAATATTTAGCGTCAATATATTCAAATATTGATTGGAAATTGGCAAAGAAAATCAAAATCAAAATAAGTAGGTGTTCTGTAGACTTAACGAAAAAGAATGTCTTACTACATTTGACGCCGACATAAATATTACGTATGCTAACAGATCAATTCTGATGAAACTCGTTATGAACACATGTCACTGGAGGTCATCATGTCTTGGTACCCTCAATGTCAAGATGTGCAGTGCATACTTACCAGGCGAGCATAATGAAAATACAATTAGATTTAAACCCGATTAAGAGCGCTAATATAATATTTTACACAACAAAATGTTTTAATATTATATAATTTTTACAACACCAATAAACTTCAAACGTTTGTGTATAGACTGTACTAAATAAATATATTTAATCAAACACAAACATGACGCATATAAAATACAAATAGATTTAAACCGCTTCATGATTTGCAAATTTAAAAAAATACCAACACAGAATTACAAAACTGTTGTGTAACAGAAAATATGATTGACAACGAAAAATTGATGATAACTGAAATTTTACAAAAAACCCCCCGGAATTTATATGGTAACATGTTAAGACACGCATCTATTGATTTCTGGGCAGTACTTCGAAACCCTAACCTTCACATCACAGGTAAATGATGTCAATAAATCTTTTCCGGGTTTCGATTTCGATAAAATTAACCTTTGCTAAAAGAAAACTGTTTTGATGAGTTTCCAATGACTACTACGTTAACAGTAGTTCAAACTTTTAAATATTACTTAAAGCTAATAAAAAATAAAGCGCTAAATTAAACGAGGAATAGTTGATTTCCTAACATTCCGAACCATGATTTACTTCCCCACGCCCCCGTGTTTCTTGGAACAATGAAAAACACAATCAGTTCTATAATTTCGGAGTTTTCGTCACTCTTATTAGCAGTTCTAAAAGCTGCTTCGTAGCAGCAGCACTTCTAGAACAGAACATTCTACCATCTAACGTCATGTACACACAGCAAAGCAGAAACTGCATCATACATACAGGCTTATGTAAGTATCACATCTTTTGTGTCAAGATGTTGGTGTTATTTTACACTTTTTAGCTAAAACGACGAGAAAGTCAAGGACGGGAAGATATAACCCTCGTAACATCGTAACACACCACATGTTTTTCGGATATGATGTCAGACGTCTCCTTTTAATATAGGCTACACAGCGTTTCAGCAGCTCGATCTATTACTCATGTCTCCACATGAAATCTTATCACTTTAAATCGATTTTTAGGTGTTCTTAGCATTCTGAGTGAGCGAAAGACGCTTTTATATGTTTGTTTCATTGTCTGTCTGTAACTTCT